GACCTCATCTTAACTTGGTTACATCCGCAATGGCCCTATTTCCAAATAAAGGTCACATTCACAGGTACTGGGGGGTAGGACTTCAACATATGTTTTTGTGAGACACAATTCAACCCCCAACAGATACTTTGCTCCAGGTTTGATTATGAAGGTGTTCTGGGCTCAGATGTGTTTGAGGATGAAACAGGAACTATTGAAATACAGTTTGAAAACAGGTCCCTCTATGCTAGGGATGCCCTATCTATTGAGATGAAAAAAATTTTTTTTGTTAAGTTTATTTAAATTAATTTAAAGATACACAAGTTCATTTTACATTATTTTTTGAAACTTGAAGACTTTCAGTGGATATTCAGTGGTAAAAATCATGAAACTGGAAGTGGAAGATAGAAGGAAGAGACATTATAGAATGAAGAATTTCAAAGATAAGAATTGCAGCCTGAATTTGATTGTCCAGAAGCCTGGGTAGTAGGTAGAAAAGCTCTTGCTGTGTTCTAAACTTATGGTTTTGCCAGTTGGGGCAGCAAGTTGGTAGAGAGGGAATGCAGCAGACCTGGCTCCCTGAGCACTGGTGGAGCAGAGCCCCGCTTGCCCCTCTGGCCTTTCCCTTAGATTCCCATGGGGCTGGGAAGGTGCCCAGATGGTACATGGCACTCGCTGTCTAGCTGCTGCTCCCCTTCTGTGCAACACCCACTATATCTGCATTCTTCAGTGGTGTGTCAGGAGTTATTAGTATTTCCCTCTTTTTACCTCACCACAAGTCAAGTCTAAGGGTTGTTTATCAAAGGAAGTCTAAGTTCCCACTCTGATATCGCAATGATAGGACTATATCAGGTTTAGCGATGTAATTAAACAAAACTCCTTAGCAACAGTATACATTTGTGGCCATTGAATTATCATGCTCACTATGAGTGTTTATGGAGCTCCTGTTGTTTTATAAGGAATTGTATTCAAGTTGGACAGATGGGAGATGAGTAAAGAGATGGGTCTTTCTAGCATTCAGGAAATCTGAAGTTAGGAGAAGACAAATAGGAATCGGCTTCACACAAGAACTGATCAAGACTTGTGGATGCCACAGCATTTGGCACCTGTGGGAAAAAGTCTCTGAATGTATCATTTAATAAAAAAATATCTTGACAGAGAGTAGGAGAAGTTAGAGGCAGGGATATGTAGGGGTACCAGAAAAGTTTAATGGTGAAGGCCTCAAGCAATAGAGGCATTCATTTCAATTTTCCTGTCTCATTCGTTGGGGATCAGTTCCCATGCAAGGCCTATCAGGCCAGGCTGCTCACCAGTCCTCTGCCGCAGTCTTTCCCTGGCTTCCCCACGTCATCTGGGCATCTTAGTGGTCAAAATGAATGCACAGCGGCTTTGGTTAAAGAGGGTAGGGGTGAGAGAAGGGCACTGGCTGCATCTGGGCTGCCTGGGCCAGGGCTCTGCGTTACTGGCTCCAGTATGTGGCTCAGTCATGTGCATGCTTAGAGGGAATTATTTTGAGTATTCCTCAAAAAGGGAGCCTTCATTTTATGTCTGGTAAGTGGGAATGCAGCCACAACTATGTCCTCAGGGCAGGGACCAGTGGTGAAGCCGCCATACTTCTGGGATGACCACAGGGCAAATAATGTACAGACATCATTTCCTTTGACTAATCTTTTGTAATCCTGGTCCAGATGTGGCTCCTGAGAGTAGTTAAAGTTCTTTGTCTAAGTTGAGATTTTTAATTTAGGCCCCAGATGGAGCAGGAGGTAAATTTCCAAAAGGTCTGTTTTATTCAGTGTGTCACTGTCCTGGATTCCTGGCAGGCAGCAGTTTCATTAGAAAAGCAGATTTCATCCTGACTCATCTGCCTCGGTGAGACTTGTGATACAGCTTCTCAGGACTCACGCAGCCTGTCGTCTCGCTGGACAGAGCAGAGGGTACACTGTCCATCCTGCAGCAGTGGCGGCTACAGGCGCCTGGCTGGGGCCATGGAAAACCTTGAGAGACAGTTTGTTATGAGGCCGGAGCTTTGTCCTGGAATTTCCTGGCCTTTGTCTGTCTGCCGTAACTTCATGTACTGAGACGCCTGTTTTTAGAGTCTACTTCCTTCTGGGGGAAGAGTGCTACTGCCTTCCACAGCGCACTTCTGCTTCCTGTACCAAGCAACCTCCTTCCCCGTGCCTGTAGGTCGGGGATGGGGGAGCACTCTGGGCAGGTATGTGTACCTGGCTCCCAATGGACAGTACGTTCCCAGAAGTCACTGGTCACAAAGGACCCATAACCATTGGACATAAAAGCTGCATCTGCCAGCCCGGCCCGTTCACCCTAACCCTTGTTTCTTTCTCACACTGTAGCAGAAAAAATCCTACCTGGAGCGGAGCGTGAAGGAAGCTGAGGACAACATCCGGGAGATGCTGATGGCACGAAGGGCCCAGTAGGAAGCCTTAGGGGAAGCTCTTCCTCTTGACCCCTCCCATTCCTGGTGAGGGCGGAGGGGCCTGTGTGGGGAGATGGCCTCTGCTCTGCCCTGATGGATATTTTATTTGGACGGTCTGGTAATCCTATGTTTTGTACATCACTCTGAGCTCCTTTCAGATCCCAACCCTGTATTTTTTTATCCTGGCTCTGCCTGCCACCCAGGACACTCCTCTCCCCTGAGGGTGAGTCATGAACTCCCAGGAGAGGGAAGATGGGAGCCAGGACAGATAGGGGGGCTCTACCCAAGCCTACTACTGGTCACATACTGGTCAGACCAATAAAAGGCACCTGTCCCACTCTGTGAAGTCTGCTTTTCTTGAGCTGATGGATGAGAACAGAAGAGGCAGAGGCTGTATCCGTGTGCCACAGAGCTCCTCCCTGTGCCTCCCCAGGGCTGTGACCCTGCTCCTTCTGCACTGAAGCCTTCCCCCTTTTTCCCTTTTCTGTTCCTCTGAGTAAATCCCTCAACTTTTGAGCCTCTATGTAGTATGCAGATAAGAAGAAAGAATACCAGGGCATAGCTGAATTTAAGTGAGCAGAACAGTGGTTCCTCGGTGGCAGTCTGCCTAAACATTTCTTTCCCACTTCCTCCCAAACATTCCAAAAGAAAATTCAGTAATAAACCAGCAGCACCTCTAAGACTGTGTCCCTTTGGCCAATGTCATAAGGTGGACACTACAGTCCTGAGGCCTCGCAGAGGCTATGAGGCAGTGGTGTGCTGGAGCTGCCTTGTACTGGCTCAGGAGAGCAAAGTATTCAGTTTTCAGAAATTTTGTTGCAAGTCAGTTGTTACACAGCAATTATTAAAAATTAAATTGTGTAAATTTATAATTAAATTATATTAAAAGTGAGGATAAAAAATATTCAAAACTTATACCTTCCTAAATACTTTACTAAATCTGGCCATTATCTACCTGTTTTTTTGAAGTTAACAGTCTATCGTATCCGGATGGTAGAAACACTATATAGTGGTGCGCTCTTGCACTTCCCTTCCCAGCTCTGCATTCAGGACATCACATTGGTAGTGTGAAATCAGCTATGGTGGGACCATTTACTCCACAGAAATCAGGTGATGCTAAAAAATCATGGCTTTTTTGTTTATTTTTAGAGAAAGCTGGTAGTTAAATATTTATCAGTATCTCCTGCTTTGGAGGTAAGGTGGGCAGGCAGAGGGAAGCAGGGAGGTGTCAACTGCAGCCTCTCGGGGCTGGCAGAGCAGGCCAGCTCAAGGAAAATCTGACTTGCTGCTGTGGCAGCTCAGCGCCACCCTGTGGCCAAAACTGAGATGGGTGGCCTGGCTGACTAGTTTGTATTATGACAGCTCTTCTGTCTTGTGTGTGGGTGTCGAGTGGGTGTGTGTTGGGATGGGACAGCAGGAAAAGAAGGCCTGGGGTTTCTGTGGACTCCTGCTCTCCTTCTAGAGCAAGCCCTAGGGCAGCCCACAGCTACCAAGAGACCCTTTCCTAGGTTCTGGGTAAAAGTGGGTACAGCTCTTTGATGAGCCCATATCTGAGTGGCACGAGGGAGAGAATGCTAGCTCAATGAGGGCCCCATGACCTGGCTGAAAGACATCCTGCCTTGGAACCTGCCTTCGTAATAGCACTCACACTGTATAGCAGCCAGAATTAAAAGGTAATAGGTCTCTCATTATATACTGGACAGTGGCCACTAGCTGCCATACCCAGGGCTTAGCATCTATCTGGAATAATTCAGACAGTTGAGGTTTAGACAAATTTATTGAAACATAAGAGTGTTAGTGGAGAAATCATTCAGTGGTATGTTACATCATGCCACTACCTTGAATGTATAATTTTTAAATTATAAATATATATTTCATAACAACTAAGCCTTTGGCCAGAAAAATAAAAGGAAAGTCATTTAGCACATTTGTGAAAGGCCAATAAGAAATGGATCTTGAACATTAAAAAGATCAAGTCACTGAATTAAACAGCAGCAACCCCTGCTAATCTAGAATCCCACTGGTTGAAGGTAGAAGAAGTGTCTGTGCAGAGCTAATCATTTAGTTCAGCAATCAGAAGAGATGGGGGCAGGCACACCTGTCGGAGGTGGCAGCAGAGCTGGCAGGACAGGAGGGCCAGGCTGGTCAGGTGAGCATGTCCCAGAGACAGCAGCAACAGAGAGCAGTCCAGCAGGCTGTGAGGCAGGTGGATGTGCCCAGGTCATCCCTTCTTTGGTCTTCTACCACATAAACTGGAGGGGGAAGGGAAGAGAGGGTGAGAAGAATGAACTGGCGTAAACCCCGGGCCCTACAGAGCCAGCACCTCCCACACCAAGGGAGGCCCACAGCAGCTGAAAGCCACGAGCAGACTGGGTGCAGCCTTTCTACTTCTGCCGTGGCGGATGATGAATGGAAGGGTGGCTCAGCTCCTTAGGACACTCACCTCTGCAGGGACAAGCGCTAGGGAATCCATACAGCAGCCTCACACCAAAGCAGCCAGAGTTCAGAGAAGTAAGAAATGTCCGTTGCTGTCTGGCCAGAGTTGGTTAACCCTACTTGGTTTATAAACCAGGCAACACCATGCCCCTGTCCCATACCCTACAAGGGAACTGGGGGGTGTTTCTTCAGATACAGCTAAGCCATCTCCCAAGAGCAAGAGAGTAACTCAAATCTCCTCAAAAGGAGAATAACCAAGAATCTTGGTTTTTCATACCTGGGCAAACACAGTATCAGAATGTGCCCCAACCTCTAAACTTTCACACAAAGCAGTAGAAGGCAGGGATGAAAACCTGGTCAAGGGGGAAGGATGGCTGGAGCTTGGCACTCTTGGTTTTTCTCAGAATGGAGTTGGAAATCTGAGGCCTGTCAGGGCTAAGTGCTCTATTAAGAGATGTGAGTGCTAAACAAACCCACACATCAGGAAGACCCCCAACCACCCTTTACTCAGCAGCTGACCTGTGGCTGACATCAGCCCCTCTTCCTGTAAGGACATACTTAAAATGGCTGATGGTCAACGTTGGATCTGTGGCCATTTTTAAGAAAATCTCCAAACAACCATCCTCAACCTCAGTTGTAAGCAGTAAGGTTTAAACTTTTTCAAAATTCATGAATACATGAATTTTATACATGAAACCAGTCCTTTGGCAGGCTTCTTTCAGTTCTATTTTTGTGTATCTATTTTGATACCTCCTCTCTTGGCAACTCCTCTCTCCTGGTATAGTAGCTAGAATACGCCGGGTTAGTAGTGAGCTTTCCAAGTTCCCCCATTGTATCAGCCACCCTCCACGGAGACATCCCTTGCCCTCTCATGGCACAGGTTTAATGCTCGCCTTCATTTGGCCCCACTCAGCAACACAGGCAAAGCTGTTCTGGGTCCGGGAGATAAGACCCACCCCAAGGGATGCCTAGTCAAAAAGAAGACAGCCCGTTTATTCTGAGGCCTGATGAGGTATTACCTGTGTTAGTCCTAACAATAACTTTGAGATAGATGTTACCATCATCCCCCTTTCACAGGTAAGGAACTCGAGGCCTAGAGAGATGTAAGTCCCTTGTTCAAGCACACATGACCAGCCAGAGGCAGAGCAAGGATCTGAACCTAGGCCTGTAGCAAGCTGGTCTTGCCCAGGCCCTACTTGGGTAGAAAAGGGACCAGGAGGAGCACAGAGTGAATGGACTCCAGAACAGTCCTCTCTCACACCAGCCAGAGCCCACCCCACTCACTGAAGGCCTGGGCACTCCAGACCCTGGGGTCACTGCTGCAGGAGAGCCCCAGGCAGGGTGTCACCTGCCATCTGTCCGGATGACTTGCCCAGGGTCCCAGCCTCCCCGGGAGGCTGCACGGGCAGCTTTGGACAGGGAAACCAAGAACAATTGCCTGCGGACCCCCTTGAACAATCCCTTCTTGAATTCTTCCCGTCACAGGACTGGCTCTGCTGCCCCTGGGACAGAAGGGCCCTCTCCCCTGCCAACTCTAGAAACAGTCTGCTTGATCAAGGCCTGAGACCCAGGCTGAGGCTGGGCTGCAGCGTGAGAGGTCCTGCAGTCTCTCTTAAGCTACCGTTTATCGAGCTGTTCACACGTGCTGGGTGGGACCTGTGCTGCGGGCCTTCCATCACAGTACCAGGCAGGCCTCACAACCCTGTGGTACACCTGTTGGTACCCGTCCCCTCCCTGCTTCCCCTTCTCCCAGCCCTTCCCTCCTGACAGAACCTCCAAACCTTCGGCAGCTTAGTCAGGGAAACACAAATGTCCCAGGGTTGCTTCCCCATCACCTTTCTCCTTTCGTTTGGTCAAGTTCATTTAGCCAGGGCTCATTTCACATGACCTATTCCGAAACCTGGGACAATAGGGACTTCGAGCTTATTACTCCCAGACAATGCTTACAGAGGTTAGAAATAATCAGTCTGCCTACAGGACAGAGGACTTCAACCAGAGGGCTGCATCAAGCTTGATGGGGTGGGTAGTGCTGTACATACCTTAGAAACCCGAGTCAGTTATTTCCTCGAGCGCCAACTCTTCCAAAGGCCTTATGACTTTTTCCTTCCTGTTAGCTGAGGACAGAACCCCTGCCCTCAAACTGTTGAGAAGATAGGGGGTGGAAGAGTGCATGTCGGGGAGGGTAGGTCTAGAGGTAGGAGTGACTTGTGGTTTTCCTTGCTTTTCAGTCACCCAAATCAGGGGTGACTGGCCCCAGAGAAAGCTCTGAGGAAGGCCTTACAGTTCCTCATAGCACCTGCTCTGGGGCCCAGAAATGGCATATTTTACAGCTGTATCTTCCTAGATGCCATCCCTACCTATAGGGTCTGAGCTACTGCCCGCCCCCCCAGAGGGTGCCTGCTGCACTGAGCTGCATGGCCTTGTCTACCCCAGGGTACCCCTTCTCCCTCGGGGCCTCACGACACCTCACTGCTACTCTGCCATGCGTCCCCATCCCTGCCATCCAAAGGGTGAATCTGCCTAAGAGCTCCTACACTGCCCTGGCTGGCCAGCTAGTATGTAGCCTGAGTCCTGGGCATGACACCCTCCCTGGGTACTTAAAGCATCGCTAGCAGTACTGGTTACCCAGCAGGAGCTGGGGCAGAGATGATTCCAACACAGGTGTTCCACACCCAGGGCCTTCCAGCAACTGGCCTCTACTGGCAAGCAGGGCATAAAGGGGGCAGAACCATGGTTATATGAGATGTTAAACATTAGGGGAAGCTGGGTGAACAGTATACAGAAACAGCACTATCTCTGCAACTCTTCTGTAAGTCTAAAATTATTTCAAAATACAAAGTTTTAAAAAAGGGGAGGGATCAAAAGAACACTGGGTAGGGTGGGAGCAGGCAGTGCCTTTCCAGGCAGGCAGTGCCCAGGTCAGGGGAGAGGTGCTGGTGCCTGCAGGGGCTGCTCTGCTCGAGTTCCTTCTTGGAGATCAAGTGCCCCCGTGTGGCCAGCCTGGGGACAGGGGCTGGGCTCTAGCTCCTCCTGAGGGATGCAGGCAGGGCCTTACAGATTGGCTTCCATATACATCAGCCAAAAGGCTAACCCTGCTATTCACTGCCTAGTGTCTCAGTAGCCAAGACCACCCTGTTCAGCACCAGGAGCCTGTGCTCTGGCCCCAGGCAAGAAGGGACTGTAGTCTCAGAAAACTACCGTTGAGCTGGAAATCAGATCCACGCGTCCCTTCACTAGCTTGTCTCTCTTGCCCCCAGACAGCCCTTTTGCCACCAACCCTCAAGGTTCTCAGCCCCAGCCCGGGGTGGGGCCTGCAGAGGAGCAGAGCTTTGCCACATGAATGCAAGTGCAAGAGAGAGAACGGAGTATGTGTGTGCTGGTGAAGGGGGTTGGGGGAATATGCAGGGAGAGGTGTATGAGCATACAGGTGTGACCCAGAGGCCCAGACTAAGGCCCGGGTAAGCTTGGGTCTTGGGAGGAGACCTCCAACCCCCTTGGTAGAGGCCCCCACACATCTTCCTGCCTCTGTGCTGGAAGCAGAGAAGATAGATGAAAGATGCTTGGAGGCATGCAGCCCCCTGTGCCCACATGCCTGCCCACCAAGCCCTGAGGTCTGCTCCTGGGTCACCAGCCTGCCCTCCAGGACCACCAGACACTACCCAGAAGTCTCAAGTTCTAGGACTACCATATTTCACAACCCCAAGGGTGCCATTCACATGGGCTACTCAGAAACCTGGTAGGCAGGCAACAGGCAAGTGGGGCTCCAGGCCACACAGGGGCCAAGGGCAGAGATGGCCTGCAAGAAATGTGAGCAGAGGCCTTCTCAGCTGAAGGCTCCAGTTTCTCGGTCAGCCCCATCCTGGAATATGAAACCTTTGCTTGCTCAGCTCAGACATTTTAAATGATTAATCAAGTGTTCTGAAGTGGTAATAGAGCCTTAGCAGGCCTTTCCTAGTTGTGTATGCATCTGTACACAGTCCCTACCCAGCAGAGCTAATAAGGAGAAGCAAACACACAAAGACTGAGGCCTCCCTGAGTTCTGGCATCTTGAACCTTCTTGCTCCAGGAACTAGGAAGCTGCACCTTGGCCTCTTGCGGCCTAGACCAGTGATGGGCCCCCAGGGCTGCTCCTCAATTGTGAAGACCACCACAGCCACAGCACCTCCCAAGAAGTGTCCCCAATGGAGATGACGGCTTTGCCAGAAGCAGGAGGCCTGTGGTCTGTGCTCAGCTGCCCTCACCCCACCTTCAACACCTAGACCAACAGAAGAAGGCCAGCCTTCCAGGAGGTATCAGAGGATGCTGGAGCAGCCCTCCTACTGCTCAGACCAAGAGGCAGGAAGGGAGGGAAAAACCTTTAAGCATTTTAGGACTAAGTAAAATCTCAAGATAGCCGTAGGTTGGATCCTGTCCCTCCCATGCAGGGGCAGAGAGGAGAGCACACAACTTGCTCAGGATCCACTTCAGCTTTCCTTGGAGGTGCATGGGCAGTGGGATCATTTATTATTCAGCACAAGGGGGCTGCACTGGTGAGAAAAGATGTCCTAATGGCAGTGCCACTGTGCCACCTGCTCTCAAGCCCATGAGCACCAGGTAAGTGCTGAGGGGAGAGAGTGATGGGGTGAAGGGTGGTTAGGAATAGTAGAGGTGATCAAGGGTGTGTGGTTTTCACTGGAGTCTGAAGGTTAAGAGCAGGCAAATTTAGGTCTATCTTCCACTTTCCTCCTCCTCCACAGGGAGGCAGGCTACGGGGCTGGCAGCACTGGCACAGCCTTAGCCCAGGCTCTGCAACAGCAGCTGCCTTTGCCCGCTCAGCGTGGGACCTTCCCCAGGCCTCCTGGGCCTCTTTGCCTGCCCGCCCTGCTCCTCATGCCTCCTTCTGCAGCTTCAGCTCTGGCCTCACTGTCTCTTATGTGGAAGCTGTGAGTCAGGTGAGGCCCTGTCTCCCAAGTCTCTGTCCCTCTCTGCTTCAGTGTCCCAAGATACCCACCAGGGCAGAACAGTCTGGGAGGTGGCCAGCAATTCACCTGCCCACCCATGCATCTGACTGGCCCACCCAACGGATCGTTCAGCCTGCCATCACTCTCCAAACCTTGAGTGCCAGGTGTTTGTGTGGATTGGTCTGGAAAGGGTGAGAGCTTGCTGACCTGTGTGTGGGTCCTGTTCTGAGATCTCCAGAAGTGCAGCTGCCACCATCCTGTCAGGGAGGCAGCTGCTAGACAAACCCAAGGAACTATCTCAGCCAAGACCAAGCCTTCTGAGAGGCTCACGAGGGTCTAGGGAACCCCAGGGCCATCTCACCCAGAGTGTCCAGAGTGGGGATGAGCCCCCACCCCCAGGCTCAGTCACAAGGCCAGCTTGCACTTCCACCCTGTCCACCCCAATCAGTCCGATAAGGAGCAGACCTGACAGCAAAATTTTTTCATAAACGTACATTTGGACACGTGCCAGTCTGACAGGTAGGGCTGCACTGGCCACTGCCTCCTGTGGCCCTATCCTTGACAGGGTTTGCTGCAGACATGGGGACAACTGAGAACATCTTAGATGCTAGAACTGCAGATGAAACTGCCTTGGGGATCACATTGGCCAGTCATTTTTGGTAAGGAGAGGATGCTGAGCTCACAGAAGGGAAGTAATTTGATTGAGGTCACATTGTGAATTACAGGCAGGTCCTGGCCTGTCACCCAGCCTTCCTGCCTCCTGGCCCAGTACTCTCTGCACATCAAGATGAGGCTCACTTCAAATTAGATAGCAGCCTGGCTGCAAGTGCCTTGAAATGTGGCTGTGTATGGAGAGGTGAAAGGTCTCTCTTCTCTCTGCCCTGTTCTCTCTGGATATCCAAAGTCTGGTGGGAGGGCAAGATCTAGTCCTCACCCTGCTCCCGAGTGTGTCCCAAGAGAGTCAGGGCCCATTACCTCAGACTGGCCTGGTCCAGTAGTCAACTGGGTGACAGTGAATTACAGGATCCCTCCCGGCAGCCACTCGCCAGTCTCCAGGCAGGTGAGTGGGTGTGTTGGCCCAGAACAAGGCACCTCCTAGGGGTGGAGGGAGGAGGGGTGGCTGGACCCTCCCTCTCAAGGAATCTACTTCAGACTTTCCTTGGCTACCCCACCCCTTGGGTTGCTTTGTTCTCGAAGGACAGTATTTGTACATGGGCTCTGGAGGGGCACTGCCCAAGTTCCAATCCTTACGCTGCCACTGACGGGCTGTGTGACCCTGAAGAAGTCACAGCTTCCCTGTGCTCCAGTCTTCTCACTTGCAAAATGGGGGAAATAGTAGTGCCTAAGAGCCTATGTTTTGTGACCAAAAAACCCCACGATAATGTAAAGCGCTTGGCCCAGGGCCTGGCACAAAGTGAAGGTGAGAGGACTTAATAACTAGGAACCGCGACGTGTGGCGTTCTACAGAAGAATCACCACACATCTGTTTCGTTATTCTGCGTCCGTGTGTGGGGAGGGGCTCCTCCAACCAATCCATGTTGGGATTGGTATTTGTACGTGTGGCCCCAGATCATCCCAGGACGACAAAAGCAGAGGAACTGGCAGTCCGTGTGAGGCACAGCTGCTCCCAGAGAGAGGGAAAGAAGCAACCCAGGGGAGAGGCAGGGGGCTGTGTGTGTGTTGGGGATGAGTGAGGCAGAATACTGACAACTTTAGCTGTTGAGACCCCTCACACTGAAGAGGGTGAAATATTTAGAAACAAGCCATTTCCTTAGATAAAGGGAATAAGGAAACCCTCATACATTTGTGTGCGTGTGTGTGTGCGTCTGTGTGTGCGCCTAGACGTGCTGAGTCTATGGCTGTCACTAAGGCTGCAGAAGAACATGATATGAAGCATAACACGAAAGAGGTCAAGTTAGAAGGGACGTACATGTTTAAAAGCCTGAGAACTGAAGAGTAAAGAGTTTCTCCTTAAAGAAAAAAGCCAATCAAATGTGATCAGTCCACAACTGAATCTCAGAAATTCCAGCAGAACTAGAGGCCCTGTTCATTGAATCTCAGAAAAGGGACTGAATTCTCTGAGGACAAGAGAATGTCTTTAGAGAGGCAGCTCCCTCCAGTCTGTTTTTCAGTCTAGGAGAGGTGCAGATATGGGATAAGGGAGCTGACAGCATTTTCTGTCCACAGTTACAGATTATTAAAAGTGAAAGGAGCGTCCTTCTCCTCCCACCCTCCCACTTCCCAAATGGAGATGCTGCAGAAGGCAAGGAGGTTGCTGAGGAGCCCGACCAGGGCGTGTGTGAGATAAGGGACAAGTGCACGTCACTTTCCTCGTGTGGAACTCAATACAGTGCTGGAAGCTGACAGTGGAAGCTGCATGTGCAAGAGGCTGGAGATCGAGAAGTGTTTGGTAGTTTCCAGTGAAGACCATGCTGTTCTACAAGCGGGAGAGTGGAACTCACCCCACTTAATTAAAAGAAAATAAGGGCTTCCCCTGCCCCCCCACTATAACCAACAAAATAAGAGGTCAAACCAGGGCCCACATCCCTGCTACCAACTTAGGAGTCAAGTAGACCCAGCTGAGACCCTGGCTCTGTTCTTCTGTAGACGGGTGAATTGAGGTAAGTCACTTGACCTCCTGGAGCCTCTGCTTCCGCCTCTGTAGGAAGGAAAGACAGTGGTGGAAGCTACTGCCTTAGATGACATGGAAAATGTGGTGAGGACAAAGGTGAGTACCATTAAGACAAGTCGAAAAAAGGAAAGGACTCGGTTTACAAATAGGAAAGTTTCATCATGGGTTTCTTAAATAGATCATATAGTACATTTCAAACATTATCTTTCATAATTTGATAGCCAATCTATCATTTATGTTCACAGAGCTAAAGAACCGAGGTGCCAGCCGTTCCAGTGCAGCGTCCACATTTGTGTTTGCTGGCCCAGCAGCACGGACAAAGCTTGGTCTTGCAAAACACAGCTGCAGCAATCACCCCAAGCCCAGAAGAGTGTGGAGACCTGCATATCCAGAGAAATGCCACAAGCTGACAGGAGGGCTGAACAGCTTGGGGGTAGGGGGCTCTATCCAGATGAACTTAGAAAATGGAAGACAGATAATTTTAGTTTTTTGTAAATCTGAGGAGATAACCAAGAGCTTCTCATGCTGGCGAGAAAAGAAAGCCACCAAAAGGAATCTCAAATGGTTTACTAGGGTGACAGGCCCATTTCTGTTGCACAAGACTTTAGTGAGTAATCTCACATACCCTGAGGGGAAGAGACACCTTAGGATAGCCTGTGCTTCTCGCTTAGTTTGGAGAGTAGAAAGCAGTTTTTCTTTTATCCTAAAGTCGGCCAAGAGATGAGGGAAGGGACTGAAGGGCAATAATGAGGACCACACAAGATGAGAACACAGGCAACAGGCGATTGTGTCCTCAGCACCCCACCGTTCTGCTAGAAGTCTGTCTGTACCACAGCCTCAGACAGGCCAGAGGAACCACAGGTGAGCTAGGGAGGATGCCACTGTAAAGATCAAAGGGGAGAGAGGGGCCAACAAGCATGAGATGCGCGGATGTCATGGGTGACATTACTACAGCAGAAGGAAGGAAGCAATTCATTATATCAAGAATATATTTCAAATTCAGTTTTTGGAGAAATAAATATGAGGGGGGCTGCTGTGCCAAGCAGAAGAAATTAAGGAAAATCTAGAGAAACATCTGATCATGCCCAGTACACAACAGCTCTGTGAGCCTGTGGCAGGGTGTAAAGACCTTGAGGGCAGGGAGAATCCTTTAATGGCTGGCCGCTGCACACAGTCTTGCTCACGACCCACTCAGAAGTGAGCCACACAGGGACCAAGACTGTGAATGATGATGGCTGACCTACCCCAGAGCATGACCTGGCCCACAAGCCCCTCAACATAGTTGTCATCTCTTCATGGCTGTTCCTACCCAATTTGATGTAAACCACACCTCATTTATTGCCAAACTTCAAAAGAAACCAATGTGACCAATCAAAAGCTGGGGCTCAACTCTGGAATCCTCACAGCACAGCAGGCGAAGGAGCAGGCTGCCTTGTGTCACTAAAGGCACATGAGAGTGAGCAGGCAATCCTACTTAAATACCCGTCAGGCTCCCTAACGATCTGCAGGTTCAATACAATTCTAATCAAAACCCCAGCCGTATTTTTCGGAGATAAACCGTTTCTAAAATTTATGGAAAAGTAAGAGAACTAAAATAATTTTGAAAAAATAAAATTGGAGGAATCACACGACCTTATTTTAAGATTTAATATAAAGCCAAAGTAGCCAACACAGTTATGGTATTGGCAAAGGGCCTGACACAGATCCAAGGCACAGAACAGAGAGGACAGCAGGACCCACATAAACAGGGCCGACTGATGTCTGACAAATAGGCAAAAGCAATTCAATGGAGAAAGGATAGTCTTTACAAACGTTGAAAAAATTGGCATGCAAAAAAACTAAAAACCTCAACCATTTTAAACCTCATATTTTATACAGAAACCCAAAATGGATCATAAATCTAAATGTAAAACAAAACTATAAAACTTTTAGAAAAGATCGGAGAAAAACTTCAGGACCTGGGGTTAGGCAAAGAGTTCTCAGACCTGATACCAAAAGCATGCCCAAAAAAGAAAAAAACGATAAATTGGTCCTAATAAAAATTAAAAACTTCTGCTCTGTGGAAGACACTTAATATAAGGGGATGAAAAGACAAGCTATGGACTGAGAGAAAATATTTGCAAATAACATCCTGCAGAGGACTTGTCTCTAAAATATATACTCTCAAAACTCCACACTAAGAAAACAACTCAATTTAAAAGTGGGCAAGGGGCCGGCCGGTAGCACAGGGGTTAAGTGCGCACGTCCTGCTTCAGCGGCCTGGGATTCGCCGGTTCCGATCCCGGGTGCGGGCATGGCACCGCTTGTGAAGCCATGCTGTGGCAGGCGTCCCGCATATAAAGTAGAGGAATATGGGCACAGATATTAGCCCAGGGCCAGTCTTCCTGGAGGATTGGCAGCAGTTAGCTCAGGGCTAATCTTCCTCAAAAAAAAAAAAAGTGGGCAAAAGACTTGAACAGACACTTCACCAAAGAGGATATAGGGAAGGCAAGTAAGTACGTGACAACATCATTAGACACTTAAAAAATGCAAATTAAAACCACAATGAGATGCCACTACACACCTATCAGAATGGCTAAAACAAAAAATACTGACAATATCTAAGTACAAGGACACAGAGCAACAGGAACTCTCATTCATTGCTGATAGGAATGCAAAATGGTACAGCCACTCTGAAAAACAGTAGCAGTTTCTTAAACATACACTTAATCATATGATCCAGAAATTGCACTCCTGGGTATTCACCTTAGAGAAATGAAAATTTATGTGTACACAAAAAACTCTACAAAATTTGTAATCGCTAAAAAGTGGAAACAACCCAAATGTCCTTCAACAGGTGAATGAATAAAGTGGCACCTCCACATAATGGAATACTACTCAGCAATAAAGAAGCCACCAGATTTTCACAGAATACCCCAGCAGTTACACACTGATGATTTTGCTTGAAAGGCAGTATGCTAGAAGGACATTCCAGGGCAGAACGCATCTACCCTGAAACTCCCTTGGCCAAATGTCCTAGAAAATCCTGAAAGACCAAAGACTTTCAAATGTATTCCCCAGGTCCCCAGGGTTCCATAAACAGGTAGGGGGTGGTCCCTCCTTGCCTCAACAGCAATTCCATAGTATCTATTTTCCATTCTACAGTTGCATGTAAAGTTTTTTTTGAAAAGATTTATATTAGAAAGATCTGAAAACTATCAAAGTATCAAACGGTGGTCATGAAGGATCTGTACTGTTGCTGGGGTTCAGAAGGGCCTCCCTGGAGCATGGATGGTCATATGCTTCGCTGTCTGTGTGCTGGACCCTCCAACAGCCACCCCAGGGGACACAGTCTGCTTTGAGAAGCAAGGTCTCCTTTATCAAAGCTGAGTGACAAAGGCCTGACTCCCTTACTTGGTGTCTGGCCTTTCTGGAACTTGATGTGGTGTTGCCTACTTCTCTCCAGTTGAGCAGGGTTTCGAGCCCTCATGCTTCAGCTGGTTCTTTGTACCTCTGAGCCTGTCTCTTTCACGCCTACATAAATGTCTGCCTTCCTCCAGGCCTGAGGAGCCCTGTCTTCTGGTCCTAGCAGTCTTGTCTTTCCCTCTGTTGGGTCCTTCACAGAACAGGAACTGGAGAGCAGTCCACTCTATAGGGACAATAGTGAGGCTAAGTCCAGTGGATATTTCTGAGTTCCTACCTTACCTGACTTGCAGCAATATTTGATGGTACTGATCATTCCCTTGTTTTATTTTTAAAGACTGGCACCTGAGCTAACAACGATTGCCAATCTGTTATTTCTTCTTCTACCCAAAGCCCCCCAGTACACAGTTGTATATTCTAGCTGTAGGACCTTCTAGTTGTGGTATGTGGGACACCGCCTCAGAGTGGCCTGATGAGCAATGCCATGTCCATGCCCAGGATCCAAACCAGCGCCTAGGCCACTGAAGCGGGGTGCACAAACTTAACCACTCGGCCACGGGGCTGGCCCCTCCCTTCTTAATACAAATTCTTCTCTCCACTTTTAGGACACACACCCCATTCTCCTGGTTCTCCATCTCTGACTCTTTTGCAGATTCATCATCTACAGGTCCAAGTCAGTTTTCCTTAAAGCTCAGCCCTACACTGCCACCTTTTCTTTTCTCTCCATATTTCTACCCAACCTGATCTCATTCACTGTCACAGTTCCAGTTACCACCAATATGCCAATGCTTTCCATATTTATATCTCCAGCCCCACCTCTCCTCCAAGCTCCAGGTATGTATACAACTGCTTACCTGACATCTCCACTTGAATGTCTCAGACACCTTGACATCTCACAGTCTAACCCAACACGTTCAGAGCCCAACATGATTTTTTTCCTCCCAACCAAACATGGTTCCTTTCCATTGTTCCCAACATCCAAACACCACCACTGGACATCTAGTTCCAGTCATACGCCCAGGAGTCATCCCCGACTCTCCTTCGCTTCTTCAATCCCCATATGCAATCCATCACCAAGTGCTGTTGATTTTACTTCTAAATATCTCAAATGCATTCATGTCTCTCCATCATCACCATGTGAACTTGTGCTCCCCTCCAAACCCTTCTCTACATGGAAGCCAAAGGGATTCATTGATCAAATCATCCCTTTGTTTAAAATCCTTCAATGGCTTCCCACTGCTCACAAGACAAAAACCCAAATCCCTAACTGGGGCTATGCGCTTCCCCGCCCCGCCCCCCATCTCATTTCTGCCTGTTTCTCATCTGTTCCCAACATCCCGTTGTTCTCTGCCACACTAGTTTCCTCTTCTAATTTCTCAAGTGAGCCATGTTCTCTCCTGCCACTGGGCCTTTGCACCTGCTCTTCCTACAACTGTTTTGCCTGTCAAAACCTGTTAATCTTTCAGATCCCTCTGACACTGTGCAAGATTGCCCCTCTTTTATATGTTTTCATAGCAATACACAGCTTCTCTTCATAGGAAAGTAGAATGTCAGTTATTACCTGTGTGATTATTTAATGTCTGGTTCCCTCTCTAGAGTGCAAGCCCCATGAGGGCAGAGATCAGGTCTGTTCTGTGTGGTTCATCACCTAACACTGGAGCTGTTCAGCATTTACTGAGTGAATGAATGCTGGTCTACAACTGAGGGTGGTTCTCTGGGAGTGTGCATGGGGCAGATCAAAGACCAGCTCCTCCCACAGTTTAAAGTGTCCAAAGGCAATGCTGTGATAAAACTGGGTTAAAATCTTCTACTGTGACCCCACTGGAGTGAAGAAATTATTTTCACCAAAAATGTAATATTTTTAAAAGAATCCATTCACAATAGCATTACTAGGATAATGTACCTCAGAAGAAATGCAATTTTAAAAACCAACAAAGGGGGGCCGGCCCCATGGCTGAGTGGTTATGTTTGCACGCTCTGCTTCGGCGACCCAGGGTTTCACCGGTTTGGATCCTGGGTGCAGACATGGCACAGCTCATCAGGCCATGCTGAGGCAGCGTCCCCCATGCCACAACTAGAAGGACCCACAACTGAAATATACAACTATGTACTGGGGGGGCTTGGGGGAAAAAAAAAAGATTGCCAACAGTTGTTAGCTCAAGTGCCAATCTAAAAAAGAACAACAAATAAACCAACAAAGGATATGTGAAAGGATATGAAGAAAATTATACAACTTATCTAAGGATATAAAAGAAGACAAAAATAAATAGATACCATATTCATGACAGGAAGACAATACTGTAAATATGTCAACTCTTCCCCCAATTCTCTAAATTACATGCCATCTCACTTAAAGCCAAACATGGTGGTTTGCCACAGAAACTGACTCATCCTAAAATCCAGATTAATGAGTAAGAGGCGAATAATAGCCAAAATAATCCTGAAGACAAAGGGTATGTGTGAATGCATGTGCTGGGGGCAGGGAAGATGGTTACCATACCAGACTCCGGATTCTAGCTCATTCATATGTGGGAGCTTGGTATATGACAAATCTCATTTCAAATCAATGGGGAAAGGGTGACTTAATCAATAAACGGTGTTGGAACTCTCAACATGGACGAAGAAAACCAGAGCCCTATCCCATACCATGACCAAAAATAAATTTAGGTGGACTAAAGACTACCTGAAAAAATTTCAGAAGAAACTATAGGTTTATGATCTTGGAATAGAAAATGATATTTCAAAGACTAAAAGACGAAATATAAGGGAAAGATTGATAAATATGACATTTAAGAACTTTCATACTAGAAAATACACTATAAAAAATGTTGAGACAGAAGATACTTGCAAGCCTATAAAGTGATAAATATTAGTGTCCAGAATATTTAAAGATTCCCTCCAAATCAATAAGTAAAGACAAACCAATAGAAAAAATGGGCTAAGAATATGTACAAGCAATTCACAGGATTTGTAAAAGCAAATTGCAAAAAGTTCTAGTTTTATGTTCAGGGTCACTAGTAATCAGGGAAGGTAAATTAAAATAGTGAGATACCATTTCACATCTATCATAGGTGCTAAAATTTAAAAGTCTGTAGATCAGGTATTTTGCAAAGAAAGCAAAAATGGAAATTGTGAAGCACTGGTCGTTTATTCCAGAAACAGGAGGTAGCGGGCCTGGAGGGAGCACTTGGGTCTTGGCTGCTCAGTCCAAGTTGTCCAGGAGGCA